TTTTTTATCATTTTGTTGTTTTTGCTTTTTGGAGGGGTGGGCAACATTGCACCAACACAAAAGTGGTCATTTCGCGACTTTCTATGGCGACTGTGTATATCTACCGACATAGACGTCTCCGAAGGGCTTTTTAATTCAGTATATATTCATAATCATAGACATTTAAGACATTCATATCCCTCTATCACACCTCGGTACACGTGGAGACGCACAGGACATCGGTATAGCATTTAAAGAACCTGAGATGGCGAGAAAAGAAAACCAAAGCCCTGAATGAAGCCGAGGAGAGTCACCATATAAAGGAGGAAGGGTAACAGCATGCGTGATCCCCTAATATGTAGTGACGGCTTCAAAGGCAGACTAATTTCTAAGAAGCAACAGCCTTTCATCAGGGATACCTGACCTTTTCATTATTGTTACTAGTAACTATAGGTTTAGATGCTCATATATCTTTGTACAGTGGCCTGCTTATGGCTCAAAATTCATATCATTGGTTTTTACTCTGTGAGATTGATAGTAAATTATTATTACTTTGTGCTTCAAAATCATAAAGTTGAACGTTTATGTGTTATTTTTTTTAAACAAGTTTTGTCAAGCATGAACTATTTCTTTTTAATTCTTCTATATTTCTCCAATATGCTAATAATCTGATGCAGTCTTCTTTTAAATACATTTGTTGTCGCTGGTTCAGGGGTGCCAGACTCGCAACATGTAAAAGAGGATTATGCTCTAAACACTATACAATTGACAATCGAAAACAATATATGATATAATCAATGATGATGTAAAACGTGCATGCAAACGTTTATTTGGTCAATGACATAGATAGTAGCAAAGAACGAACGGCACATTGGTTAAAATTGATTATGGTCTAAAAAACATAGACGAATTAAAATGCTTACGTGGAATTTAGAATAATAAGATGTATGGAATGACATGTGCAAAAATATGAAGAAAGATCAACGTGGAAGGGCGGGATTTAGTAAATACATCTCCCAACACAATTCAACAACAAGAACCACCGGCAAGAAACAACGCTGAAAAGCAATGACGTAAAAGTTTCAAAGACTATTCAAATATTTCAAAGACTATACTCAAGCATGATTTTTAAGCAAATGTAAATCTTTTGATCATACCTGTTGTCCTTACAAGAGGAGCAATTATAAAGACTTTTGAAAGTCTATTGGAAGTTAAGAGATAATAGGAATAATGACATATTTATGCCATGCAGTGGAGAATTTCACATGATAAAGATGAACCTTTATAATGGAAAGAAAGATATTTTGTTCTCTGTATCATTCGTGTAATGATTGTAATTTTGAAGTGTTTTCTAACAGAGAAATGCCAAAACTATCGTAAAACATTTCAAAGTGTTCTATAAGTGATCAGAGGAACACATGGTCATACTCGGGAATTGTCATCACACGTGTTGTTTGTATTTTTGTTCTCTGCTTAATTAAAGATGAAATATGTTGTGTAACGAATGCCAAAATGGTTTTTAGAAAAAACAAAGTACTGTACGTGGATCATATATTATCTCTGACTAGCATTATTGATTAATAGGAAAAAGAGAAAATTGTCAATTGTGATTTTATTGATTAAAAGAAAGCTTTCGATTCTATTAAAAGAAAATGACTTTACAATACGACCATTGGCGTTGCATTGAAATTAAAAGCATCGTACGTATGAGTAGATATTGAAGGCGAAACTGTTCCAGTCTGAAACTGAACTACAGGTACAAAACAAAAAGAGAATGTGGGTTTTCCACAGGGCATCGTAAGATAAAGTTACACCAAGATGTTTATGTAATGTGACTTGAGCTATTGGTGTAGAGTTATAACTTAGTATGGGATGAGAAAGTTCAGACAGTTTCCTTGAAAAAATCATTGATTTAAGTGTAGATGGATTAAAGGAAGCAAGGTTGATATCTAATTATTGATATTGAAATCCCCTGCAACAGTTGTATTAAATGTGTGTACAGAGAAAGCGCGATTTGTTTTTAAAGATTAGAGCAAACGAAAATAATAATAAATATAAAAGCATCGGACTGTTTTTACATTAAATCTTTGATATTGTCAAATGTTAAATTGACTTTTGTTATTTTCAATAAAAAAATGCTAGTCATTGCTAAAATCGTCTGGCAATAGTACATATCTTGATATATGCACTCCATCCATGTCAATATGCAAAGGAAGAATAATCAGCTGTTCGGTAATGTGAAGTATATACACATTTTACATATACATATACACGCGCATACGTATATTTCGTATATATAAACACACACGAACGCATGCCACATACACATATACACAATTACATATATCAAATGTACATGCATTAACAGTTTCACACATTTATCCATACATTTATCCATACATGTGTACATATGCATGAATATGCATCTATTTTAACAACCTACATATTATATATGTGTATACATTATATCGAGTACATACACATATAATATTGTGATTTTTCGTGAATGCAAAAGGTATTTTAAAAAGTTTATTACCCCCCCCCCCCCCTTTCGAAGAAGATGGGGTATATTGTTTTGCAAATATCGGTCGGTCGGTTTTACATTTCCGTTTTTATGGAATAATCAAAGTGTTACAAACGATCAACTAAATATTTTAATAGCACGCATAAAAGATCAATATTTGCAACAATGGCAAAGTGAAATTAACAGTAAACCTAAATCAGAAACATATTGTATATTTATACAAAGTCTGTGGTCTAATTCAATATGTTAATTTTGCTTCATCAAATTCTATGAATTTAAAATAATGGAAAACAACAATATAAAGACTTTCTTGGCTACAGTTATTGTGCTAACTAATAATTTTTTTAGATAAATATATTTTTAGCAAAGACAATTATTTCTAAGAATTTGATGTATTTTCAATCATATAATAATCATTATAAATCACAAAATTAGTATTTTTATTGCTGGTTTATCAATATAAGTCGAACATTTATTTAAAATCATATTCCTCAATCTTTATTTCTGAATAAATAAATCTTCAAATTGCAGCAATAAAGAAATGTAATGAGGGATTTTTAACAGTACTGTTACCAGGTTAACCTCAAAATTAGTAAGGTTTCTAACTTTACAGTTGATAAAAATTAAAAGTTGAAAATGAGTATGCTATTACTACATTGTTTTAACTGAGCACTGAACAATTAAAACATATTTAAAAAGAACACAATTTTACCACAATTATTGAGTGTATTAATTAAAACTCATTTAAGTTGAAATAATAGAACATAAAATGTTATTCTTTATTGCGTTTTATCTCATGTTCTATAGTTAAAATATTGCTGATGTTCTTAATTCAACTATTTAAAAAAAATAAAGATATCTTTTTTCACTACTCAGTCATGTGTTGAATCATTCTGACTTTTAAGTTCAGATCTAATTACGTTATTTCTTGCACCTAGATCTGATTGCCTCCGCATTTGTTTCGCCTTCATTGTGGTCCTGCTTTCCCGAGAAAGCTATTTTAGCAATATAATCAAACAGTCGCTTACAGACAGGCTTTAGACAAACTATCAAATAGCACTGTCCCTTAAAGTAAAATAAATTGTTGACTTTTGATAAAAAAAATTGTTTGATGAAATTTGAAACAAATATTTAATCTGGAAATGAAATATTCAATTTCTAATTGGCAAGATTGCCATTTAACGTGCAAGAAGCCCGAGGTCTAAAATACCACCAGTCAATCACTAAACAAATAAGGTTGCATATTTTGATAGTAAAATGATGAATTATATTCATTTTGAAGCACTTTATTTGGAAACATTATCCTAACATTGGTTGTATTGAGTACTTACGAACTTATGTTTCTTAAATGGCAAAATTCAAAAGGTCGTATGTGGCACTTAACGTTCTTTTCGAAAATAGTTAAAGGTCGTAACTGTGGCAAATAATTCATCCTGCACTGTAAGTATTTATGCATGTTTGTCATTGTCATTATATACATAAAAGGAACGGCAACATTATTTTTCTGATAAGTTTTGTCTATTAATGTGACTTACCAGTATTGCATGTACTGTACGTGTTGCCATTAGTCACTAGCAACATAAGTGACTGTCTCATGCATTTTACATTCCACACTTCAACGGTCAATCAAATTATTAGTCATTTTCAATAACAGACACTTCACAATTTATTATTTGATAAAGTTTTTAAAAAATAATGAAATAACAATAACAAAGAATCAATACACAAAAGAATATACTCATAAATCACTGACAAAAAAACAACAGTAAAAGAATATTTTGACTGAACATTGCTAAAAATCAACATTTTTGTATTTACCTGATTTACTCAAAATGGCATCACTCCGACAAAAAAATGTTATTAAAGAAAACTGAACTCAATGCGTGATAATTTCATAAAATGACTGAACTGATGACAGACACGTGATAATTTTCTGTCTCAGTGATTTTTTTTTACTTAAAAATGCCGACCGACGTCTATGATGTGTAGAGAAAATGAGGTAATCAATCACTGTGTTATCCATGACTACACATAAACTGTTTATAAAATCAAATAGAAGTAAATGTTATTTAACAAATCAATGATACGGTGATCCATTCATGAATAAAACAGAATTAATAGAAACAAATCCGCGTTAACCTTTAACCTCATATCTAGACGTGTTTTGACGGCTTTCCCCTTCCTCTTTTTGGGGTCTCAAACAGTGAAACAATATCCTGTTTTTCGTTTGAGAAATATTGTTAAAAAAGTGATCACTTTTTCGGCGCCGCCCCCACCAGGTCCACAGGCACCAGACACAATTATTTTACCCATATACGCTCATAATACTATATATAAAGAATATTCTTTATATATAGTATTATGAGCGTATATGGGTAAAATAATTGTGTCTGGTGCCTGTGCCCAGGTCCGATACTCGTGCCTGTGATTTTTACTTTGCAAATTTGGTTCAATTTATCCTTTTCGCTTTTTATATTTCCTTTGTTATCAATTAAAAATCGCTGTAATTAAGACGCTTGAAAAAATTACGCTTGTTCACCGGTTTTCTTTTGGTCCTTTTCTTTTAAGAATTTTTATCGCCTTTTGCAAGTTTTGAATCATGCCAGACCATTTAGGTTCTGATCAAAGAAAAGTTAAAGAAGAAAATAAAGAAGATAAACCGATACAAGGTAATTGTACATTGTTAGAATATGTATACAATCTTTGTGCTTACTCACTTTATGTTTCAGAGATGTGGGTGGGGTATTGACAAAAGTCAAAGTTTTGTCTTTTGACAGTACTTGATCTTGCCTTAGTATGGGTCTTAGTATATCTGGCCAAAAGTTAATCTCACACTTAGATAACAGATTGAAAGATTGATTTTTTTTTTCTATTCAAATTAATTAAATCATACTGTTCTGTTGCAACAAGACGTCATGACGATTATGATGAAAGATGTTATATCGGCTGAAAAGTGTGAAAACTTAAATGAGAAACCTATGAAAGAATTGACCTTTTCGAAAACCTAGCTAAACACCGTTTTCCGGTACGTTACCGTTTTAGCTCTGGGGAATTACACCAAATGAAGAACATAACACAGTTACGTGATATTTCTATTTTTCTATCATTATTTAACCATTTAAGGTGAAAAAAATTGATGTTTTTGAAAATTATCAATATTCCTTTAATATCTATTGCAAATTATTAAAAAGATAAATTATTACTAATGAAAATCAATAAAATTCAAACAGACATAGTGGAATCTTCCATAATAAATAAGGTTAATTTCTGCGTAAACTTGTGTATTTTCTTATAAAGAAATAACTATTTTATTTCAATTTAATTTAAAAAAAGGCCGAAAACTCCGAGTTCGCTATTAGGCAATAGAAAATAAATTCCCAGATTCTCATCCCCGCCCGCCCGGCAAAAATGACTCCGCCCGAACGATTTTTATTTTCAAAAAAAAAAAGAAAAAAAAAAGAAAGAAAAAGAAAGAAAGAAAGAAAAAAAAATAAAGAAAGAAAGAAAAAGAATTAAGTTTTAAGCTTGATTATTGTGTACGGATGCCGAGTACTTAAAGTATATAAGTGTATCATCATCTGTACGGCCGAAAGTCCGTCAGTCTCGGTCCTGGCTGAATAGATCGGATCATGCGGGCCGAGCGTGAAAAATCCTCGGGGTCCAAATAAAATTTCTAAGAGCTAAAAATAACCTGTTTTGATAGTTAAAATGAAATGTGTTAAAGAACTTTAACTATATTGGGCCACTCTTAAAAAATTATCTGTTTGCTATTGCCGGCCGACCCAGCGAAAATGCCCCGACTCAAAAGTTTTTTTCAGCTTAAAAAAATCAGATTTTTTTTTATTTCCGCCAAATCAGCCAGGGTATTCGACCTAAAAAATTCCCTCGAAAACAAAAATAAAATCTGAGGAAAATCACACATTTAATATGTAAAGTAACGAGTGATCATTCATGAGGGCATTCTGTGCGTTACTATTTAAAGTATTTACATAAATAGCGACCAACCAGGGAAGGATATTTTCCTTACGTCACGCAGTATTGCATGCGCGCGGCAATTAAGTTGAATTAACTAATAATAGAATGTATCAAAACGGGATTAAAAATAATGTTTGTTCAATTAATGAATATTTGTAAAGCATTTATATGGTCACTAGTTTACCATGTGGTAATTTTAATGTGCTTTGGAGTACATGTTTGTTTGTTGATGACTGCCGACACAGATTAAATACTTAGCCCATGCAATAAAACATTTCTGGTAGCAGCGGGGATTCTGTCATAAAATTGACCGAAAAAATAAATTTTTGGAAGCTGAAGTCCTTTCATATGCATTGTTGTTTTGATAGCAGACACAATTATTTCACAACATCTTCAAGATCATAAAAATGTAAATAAAATATCACAATCAAAATCACAGATATACATACGTTTAATTAAACTCCATGTCAAAATGAACTTACGATAAATAATATGTCAATAATTGACACAATAAATATCCAACATTTTTTTTTTACTTGAGCAATAATTAAACATGTGTAATCATTCCTTGACAAAAAGAAATGACAGTTTTTTTTCTGATATATAAAAAAGAGGTGGAAGTCAATTGAGTGTCGGCACTTCTTTGATGATTAGGCAACAACTACAGGTGTGTAAACATCAAAGATTCACAGATTCTTCAGAAGAGCCGACCAGTCATTTGTCACAGGTCATTTCGTGTGTAAATTTTGTATTTATTATTTAACAATGGAAACATTATATTCCTTTTATTTATGGATGCTACTTTTTGCTTGAGTGTTTTTGTGTCTTTTAGCGCTATGGAATTTCAACAATCGGCGATAATTTTCGGTAACTAACAATGAAATATTTTAACATTTTTAAAACAGGGGTGCAAATATCAGCCATTCAGAAATTATAGGAGACAAATCTTGCGTGTGTTATTTTTTACAGACGTGTAATAAATTGAGTAATAATGATCACCCGATAGAACGATATGTCCTGGTGATCCACTATAATTTTTCCAGTTCTTACGGGAATATTTACGCAGGATTAGTTTATCACATCGGTAATTTGACCATGCTTGAATTTATGTCCACATAGTCATTTTTTTATTTCATGTTATGATTACTAGTGAACATGTTTTTATCGTTTTTGACTGTCTTTTACAAGTAAGTTTTGCCGTCGCCGATGATGATAGTGTACGTAGTCCAAATTTCAACAATCTGCTACAACGTACTAAGCGTATTAACTTACGTTCAGTAAAAATCATATATCAAAAAAAAAAAAAAAAAGCCTACCTACCGACCCACTCCTTATAACTTTGGGTCGGCAATAGCAAACATATATATTATTAAGGATGGCCTTGAAGTTTGAACCACAAAAGACCAATTTTTGACAAGTAAAATATTCAAATAAACAGCAGTTCATAAACAGCATCGGTAAATTGTTGCCGTAAAATACAAATTTGGAAATTTTGTTTACAATGCCTTTTAAAACAGCAGCTGAATAACAATCTAAAAATACTCATAAAATAATTAATCTGATCAAATCAAAATCAACAATAAGCTAGAATTGTGAATGGTTATGCAGGAAACAGACATTTTCTTGTTTGTCACATATTTTCGCGATGCCTATTTTTATAATAAAAAAAAAGAAGTCAACAAAAGAAAGCCTTGTATTGATAAAATTTGTCCAATAACACTTTAAATATAGTTTATTAATTAAATTTATTAACTGTATTGTTTACATTAGTTTAGAATGAGACATTTGCCAGTGTGTGTTGTACAATGGATATTTTCTTGAGGGAGGGGGTGTGTGGAATCACAGATATATTATACAAGCTCCATGATGGAATTAATCAAGGAAAAACAGCAGAATTGGGAGTCTCAGGATTTTGAAAATTTTCATTTTTTCTACGTCTACATTTTGTTTTGTTTCTTCATTGAAAGCCACACTAAGAAAAGCCGTCATTTTGACATTCACCCAGGTTGTTATCATATAATACTTGAAATGTCACGGCCTGAAATAATCATCTGAACCAAAAATAAACAAAAGGGTGCCGGTCCTTGTGGCCTTAACAATGAATTTCGCATAGAATCTTCATGGTCAGTGTGCTGCTTGATTTTGTATGTCACCTTTATAATATCTAGTCATGGTATGAAAGTGAAAATAAGATAGCCTTTTAATATAATAGGTAAATCTCTGTACTTTCTTTGCCAAATTTTCAATAGCTTAGATGATATTTTTGCAATGTGATATATAAATAGGATTGTCTTTTTGTCTAGCTTCAGTGGTTGATTAATTAATTTACACATGTAAAAGCACTAGGCCCTATTGATCGGCATAGGCATAGTCAGCTTTATTCAACTCTTTTATAAAATTAAGATGTCTTATTTTGTAACAATACATTTAGATCTATATATTGTTTTTTTTATATTGTCCAAACATCAATTGGTTTGATGTCAAAATATGAAAGGTTCAATAAAACAGCTAGATCATTACAATCAAGATATATTATCATGTTGCTTCAATTCTCAATCTGAATCTATGTATTTTACAAACACATAATATTAGAACCTATTATATAGAACAAATTCACAAGTATTGACCTCCTTGTGTGCAATTCCAGACCGAGAATGGAAAATAAAAAATAAAAATTAAAATCCACCCACCCGCCCCATTTTTTCCCAAAATTTGGATGAGAATCTAGTTATTTATTTTCTATTGCCTTACACTCCATAAGGTGAATTCCCAAGAGCTACAGAAAGTACTTGAAAACAGCGTTTAGGCCTAAAAAAAAATTGTTTTGTTCGGGTCACCCGACCCTACCTAATAATATGCGCCGACCCTACCGTTTTTTTTCGTGTCCAAAAAAAAAAAAAAAAAAAATCCAGGAAAATACCGTATTATTGAGGTACTCAATGAGCAGGGTGAAGGGCAATTCAGGCGAAAATTTCGCTGTGTATATTTCCATTTCGCTCTCCCAATTGATCAAAGAGAAGTCAACATCTCCGATAAAATCTTAATTCCCAAAGAGTAATTACTTGCCGATGTAAAGAGCAGAGATTGTATCCGCCCATATGACGACTGCTAATTATCATTATCCAATCAGAGCATCGCTATGTACTACCCTTCTACATGTATGCAAAGCGATAGACCGCCTACTCTAAACAGTAAATAATGAGAGCATCGGCCCGAAACGGGTATATTTTGCGAGTTTAATACGGGATTTGGCGATAATTATAGATTAATTTTTTACGATCATCTAAACACGTGCAAATCTTCCCTAATTGATATACACGCGGTGTTTAACCGAAGTAAAGGCGATGTGCAATGGGTTTTTCACGGCTATCACAAAACTGTTAGTCAATTAAAAATAATTAATTTCATTTGGATGATTTCAGTCCGTTAACATCAATTAAAAATTGTTATGTCGCTCACGTCATGGCTTGGGGTGAAATGCCCAAACCTAGCAGTAAAAAAAGTTACTGATTCTGATACACCTAATACACGCGAAAATTTAAGAAAGCCAATTCGCAAAAATCTTTGATTGGTATGTTGTAGACAGTGAGAGTGTTTTGCATTGTTATCTTTGTAGAAATGCCAAATTTGACACAGCTTGTACGCACGTGGGCACGACTTCCTAAAACTACGAATCATGATCGGCATGCGACATATCGGTCGTATATCATGTGCTCATGTATATAGCAACAAAATTTGTCAGGAAAGAAGTGTTCTTATTGTTTCAATATATATATTTGTTTTAATGTCATAAATATGACACTCAGATTAAGATTTATTAATATTGTAAATTTCAAAAAGCATTATTTATAAAGATATTACCGAGTTTAACATTTCATGAAAATAAAGGGAGGTAATTAGAAATTTATTTTCTATAATTTCTCAGTCGAATTTTTCAATAAGAAATGAATGTATATAATTTTAGTGATCAAATATAATGTGCACAAATGTTTGCAGTACATATTTTACATATTCTTCGATATTTGAAAATTGTTTTATAAGCATAATTATATGCACATAAATCTGACATTACAACATAGTAGATCATAAAAGAAATTTCTGTAAACAGAACAGGATAGACAGATTTTATTAATCATTATCCAATGTAACTATATCTTCTGTTAAAAGTGAGGAAAGTAAAAATATAAAGTTAATTTATTCATCATAGTTTTCTTACACATTATTATCAAAAATATATGAGAAAGCTTATAAATAGCTGATAAATAGATTGTGTTTCTATTCTAGTTGAAGGATGTATAGCCATGCATGTTAATGCATACACATTGGGATGTTTCCCTTCTGCCGATTTTTTTCACGAGGAAGTCACTTCTCCCTAAAATTTCCCCCCAGGATGAGCCCTGGGTACGGTTCATGTTTTATGGCCGCTCTTAGTTACAAAATGGCGGATCACATCGTCAATATTTGTAAAACGGCGTGTGATCTTCACCAGAAGAACGCTGAGAGTTTAAGATTGTTACACCTGAAATGTCTTTTGAAAACATAGAAGGGATGTATTTGTGCCACCCGGGAGGGATGTCAGAAATTTCCATACCTAAATTTCAATATACTGGTGAAAAAAAAAAAAAAAAAAAAAAAATCCAACCTACCCTACCTATTCCTTGAGAGCATGTTACCCTAACAAAACAATTTTTTTTTTTAGGCCTTAGCTAGGTTTTCGAATTCGTGAATCTTCTTGGTGCGAAATAAGACTAAATAAAAAAGAGAAAATGTTGATTGGTGGAAATTTAAAAAAGCCAAAAATAGTGCAATGTCCAAAGGAAATGGCTTGATGCGGGCTTCGGAAAATTTTTGAGGTTTTTTAGCTACTTTTTTCAAAAAGGACGTTAAAAGTGCGCTAAAAATTCAATCGCGGGCAAATTTCTACTTTAAAAGCAATATCAGCGCTAATGTGTAAGTTTTTAGGTGGGGCTTTACGGTTGTCAAATACAATGCGTGCGCAGCCAATCAGGTCCAGGACACAAGTTTTTCCAATAATTTAATTGATTGAAGTAGAGGTCGCGTGTTTATGACCTTTCGGCATGGTGTTGTATCCTATTACTTTAATTTTAAATGCCCTTTCATACTGTTTAACCATAATATATCATTATTGATGTGATATAAATATTCCAACATAATTCATGTTAATAACTAAATACATGTTGTGTATGCATAGTTTACATGTTGTGTTGTATGAAACAGGTATCTGAAGATTGCTTGATTGGGTCTATATTGTATATAAACACCACAATGATATGGCAATAACTCTGTACTTTAGTATCTGTTTATCTCAGTCCAGTCAGCATTGGTTCTAACTAGGGCTGTCATTCATTGAATTATCTAATATTGTTAATGTCATTTATATTCAACATTTGATTCATAAGTGATAAATGATAATTTAGAACACTGGAACACATTAAAACCCATTTCTGCCTGTCAAGTGCAAATATTTTACATACTGTATTCCTAGAAAAGATTTGGGGGACGCGCATTTTAAGTTAGCAGTTTTCGCGGTAGGCATGATTCCGCGAATCTTTATAGCTGCGAATATGTCACTTATAACAAATCCGCGAACATTTCTAGCTTCAGCCAAATATAACATAAAAAGTGCAGAATATTTATTATAATCTACTCACACAAAAAGAAACATATAAACACAGGTGCTATAGAAATATGTAAAGAATAATTTATGTATGTTATTGATACTAGTTTGCACGCTGAAAAAGAAAATATCAATTATTATTAATTATCATGCTTATTGACGTTATTTGCTAGTCACGCATTTACAGTTTGCGAACATTGAATGACTTGGATTTTATTTGCTTGGAGTAGTTGTAATCCTTTGTTAAAAGTACAAAAGCGATAAAGTGCTACATTGATAAACAGCTGTTATGTTGTTATTATATAATGAAAGCGATGTACAGTCCGATAATGTGTAAAAAAATACGTATCGACATTTTGAAGATAAAGTCAGTTAGGATTCAAATGAGAATAAAAGCGAACGGGTCTGACTAAATCTTACTTAATAACATAATGAAAAAAGGTAAGGAAATATGAAAGTGTTCACAGAACAACCGTCCTTGTTCAACTAGTCAATAGATGAAAATGTATCGAGTAACGTTGCGCTTTAAATTGTCAAAAAAATAAAATAATTAAAAGCACCCAACAGGCAAAGTCATGCATCAAAAACGTAGCCTCCAAAAGCTGTAATTTAGGCCGTAGCGACTTAACATTCGCAGAATTCGCGGTTACTACATATCCGCGAAAGTTTGTCTCCGCGAAAATGCCGACGTTGTGAAAAACGCGAAATATTGTATCCGCGAACATTTCTAGGAATACAGTATATCATTTTTGTCTGATGAGAGCTATGCAATTGCTATATCAATATAGTTGATATTAATCTTCAAATATATCATATCAATGACAGCCCTTGTTCTAACCACTATCTAAACCTTCTTCCAGGAACTTAATTATATATTCATGTGATAGTCACAATTACTATTTGAGCCGTGCCATGACAAAACCAACATAGTGTGTTTGCGACCAGCATGAATCCAGACCAGTCTGCACATCCGCGCAGTCTGATCAGGATCCATGCTGTTCGCTATCAGTTTCTCTACTTGTAATAGGGTAAGTAAGCGAACAGAATGGATCCTGATCAGACTGCGCGTATGTGCAGGCTGGTCTGGATCCATGCTGGTCGCAAACCCATTATGTTGGTTTTGTCATGACACGGCTCATATTCATGTGATACAGTATTACTATTACTGTTTAATTTATTTCAGCTCTTGATGAGGGAGATATTGCTTTACTGAAAACTTATGTAAGTAATCAGCATTTTAACCTTTTACTATCAGCAATAGTAGTTGGCCTATAACATCAGTATATAGAGTTAGGCCAGCCAACTCTTCCATGTAGGTTCGATCCCCAGGAGATACTTTGGTAGTTTAGCGTGGAGGAAGGTAGTCTAGTACTGGTGTACTCTCCAGGAACGATGGTTAGGAAACTACCTGCCTATATGACTGAAATACTGTTGGGAAAAGGCGTAAAATGAAACAAACAAACAAATCCATGTAGATTTGATGACCACAGTAAATATTTCACTTTATTTATCAGATTTTCCAATTTTTAGCCATGAAATTAAACCTGTCTAACACCACCATTATCTACATGTAGTTAAGGCACCCTGACTACCAGAATTGAGTTCTTTATATAAAAACTATATGCTTGGGTTTGACTACTTTTTACATTTGTTTTAATTTTCTTATTAATTCAAGTAAAACTGTTCTAAGATTGTGAAAATGTATTGAGAAAAAGAAGATAGGATGTTTACTTCATTTTCTGATTGACGATGTTTCCGTGGTTACGAAATACATGTGAGAGGACAGTATAACAATGCTGATTATTTTGTCTATTACACAGGGTGTAGGACAGTATAGTAAATCCATCAAACAGGTGGAGGAGGACATTCAAAACTGTCTCAAGAAAGTCAATGAACTTGCAGGTAAAAAATTGTTTTTTTTGTTTGTTTTTTTGTTTTTTATTGAAAGCATACAGTTTTATAGATGAATCATTCAATAAATATCAATGTATGTTATTACATTAAATACTGTATAGTTTTATTTTGAGCTACTGAAACCAAATTTCTGTGTTTGTAAAAATAACAGCATCATGTTGTCTTCACTGTCATATTTCATTCCTAAATCCTGTCATATCAATTCTTGGTGGTGAAAACCTGGTTTTTGTCGATTTGCGGTGCTTCTTGTTATCAAGTTTAATTTCGTATTATAGTAACCTGATATGATAAGAGGAGAAATAGTTGGATTTTAATGACTTGATATAACAGTAATGTTGTAAGTGTTTGAAGTGATTTTTTTTTCAACATACCGGTATTAGGTGTTTATTTGACAAAGAAATGTAATTGCCCTATTTTTGAGATGAAAGTTTAATATTGTTATGTCAGTCTATTTTTAATACCCAAACATACAAAGTCATGTAGGATAAAAGGTAATTTCTTTTGTTGATATTATTGATCGGCAAAAATACATAAAATATTGTCAATGAAATAGACATAGTCTTAATATGAAGTGTAATAACATTACATGTGCCAGTATCTATCAGAATTCGAAAGTGGCAAAATACCTTAATTAAGAAAAAACTGTAACAATCAGGGTTAAACAGTTTCATTTTATTTTTTAGTTCATAGTATATCAAGTATTTGTCATTTTAGGTATCAAAGAGTCAGACACAGGTTTGGGACCACCTGCATTATGGGATTTAGCTGCCGACAAACAGACCTTACAGAGTAAGTTTGTTTTTGTTAAATTCTGATCCTTTAGTGGCTGAATTTCTTAAATAGGCTTGTCAGTCTTCTATTTTTGGAATTATCCATTATCAATTTTTGGGATATTAAGATGAACATTGAGGGGTTAAGAGTCAATGACTTCTAATCCAGTTACCTCTCTGGCGTGGGTTCGATCCCGGGGAGATGCTTTGGTAGTTTAGCGCGGAGGAAGGTAGTCTAGTACTGGTGAAACTCTCCAGGAACAATGGTTAGGAAACTACCCGCCTATATGACTGAAATACTGTTGGGAAAAAGGCGTAAAATGAAACAAACAAAACAAAACAAATTAAGATGAACATTTTTTAATTGGTCTCCAAACAGTATAGAGCCCTATGATTAGGATGTTCAGTAACTTTCTGTTATGACCAGGTTACAGGTTTATGCTTCTGTTAACATTCTGATCCTAATAAATCTAGTATGTTCATGCATGTACAGTATATAGAACCATGGTTTGTTAATCAGGCATTCAATTATACATGTATGTTACATTTTACATTTGGCTTTTAGTTATGTACTTGTTACAAGTAACTTTATTATGGAGTAACTAAATTGCTGTACTTTGTTCCCATTTCTGCAGGTGAGCAGCCACTACAGGTAGCAAGATGTACAAAAATCATAAATGCCGATTCTGACGATCCAAAATACATTATCAATGTGAAACAGTTTGCTAAATTTGTTGTGGACTTGGGGGATCAAGTGGCTCCAACTGACATAGAAGAAGGAATGAGAGTGGGGTAAGTTGTTGAAGAATATGTTTTTAACGTTGTGCTGAGTTATATCATAGACATTGAATTTGGAACTATTATTTGCCCTGATAAAAATGCTAAAAATTAAGTATTTCTCCCAGTGTATAGGGTCAGGGATTTAAGAAACAGGGTGTGTAGGCATGTTAGTTTGGCTATACAAATTTGAAGAAGTAAAGTCATTATCCCTTCTAGTATACTGTGTGTTAACTGCATAAAAAACATTATTAGCAGATAAAATTAAATATATAACAAATATCTTCTTGAACAAAAACATTGAGTTGATAAATCTTCAGGTACATCAAAGAAATGTTATCTTGTTACATCATAGCTAGATGCTTCATTTTGTTCCTGACCCTTAGGGGCTATTTTATTCCCAAATTATGTTTAGACAGTCTATATGGTCTGTTAAGATATAGTTTGCATATTTCTGCAACAATGGTCATTCTATTTATTTCATAAATATTTTGATTTTGGAAAGTTGCTTTAGCTACAGGTGTCTTTTATACAGAAACATAAATAGATACGAGTATGAAATCTAAAATTTTCTTGATTATTGACAGAGTTGACAGAAACAAGTATCAGATTCACATTCCACTGCCACCAAAGATTGATCCATCAGTTACAATGATGCAGGTAGAGGAGAAACCAGATGTTACTTACAGTGATGTTGGTGGCTGTAAGGAACAGATTGAAAAATTACGTGAAGTTGTAGAAACACCATTGCTTCATGTAAGTTGCAAGATTTTCTGTTGTTTTTGTTATATTTCTAGAAGTTTTTGGTTAATTTGGTTGATTTTGCCTTTTGATGGTCACATATTTTAATAGAGTGGTTAACCGTTATAAAAAAATTTTTGGTACTGATGAGTGAAAGAAACAAGTTTAAGAAGACGAGGAATAGATACAAAAAAAGCCAGTGCTAACCTATATTTTTTATTGGCAAGAGATTTAATTGTGTTAAGCATTATTTCTATAAGTTCATGAAAATTTATTTTGGAAAAAGCATGTATTATCTTGCTTTCTTTTCATTTGCCTTGCAAGAATTTGACTTACAAAAAAAAGCTTTTCTTGTAAATACATGTAGATAATATGAATAAATAAATTTCTGTAAAGTATAAATTTATAAGTGTTTTCTTTTTATATGCCCATAACATCACTGATCTGATACTGATTTAATATGTATTTTTCTTGTTTTGTTTTTTTACAGCCAGAAAAATTTGTGAATCTTGGTATTGAGCCTCCTAAAGGTGTTTTATTATTTGGACCACCGGGTACTGGCAAGACGTTGTGTGCCCGAGCTGTAGCTAACAGAACTGATGCCTGCTTTATCAGAGTTATAGGATCCGAGTTGGTGCAGAAATATGTTGGAGAGGTATACAAATATTCATATTGTTTTGTTTGAAATAGAAAAAATTTACAGAAACTTTTATATGCCTGCCATATGAAGTTTTAAAGTTGGTATATACGAGTCTTCTGGAGGTTGTCTGCTGGTACATTTTGTGTCTCTCATTTGGTCTGTTTCAATAAATGTCTAGAAGAACTCTAGAAAGTAATTATGAGATTGACTTCAGGTATGAAATGTAGATACATAAGGACTGTGAGTACATGTATTGCAGTGTCGAAGAACTAGAACAAACTGGTCCTAGGATATCTCTAGATTTATATACACTAAAACAGAAACTTTACATTTGTATCAAGTATCCTGGTTGGACTGATTACTTACTGATAAACATTGAGTTACTGTCAGTCTGTTATAATGTCAGTTATAATAATTTTAAAGGAAATCAACATTATGCTCATTACAGATTAGAGGAGAAGTCAGTTATTATAATGAAATATTCTTTTGACGATCAGTGTAAAATATCAGTGTAACACTCTATATTTTAATTTAATTGTATACAGAACTTATTCTTAATCTTCTTACTTTTGAAGTCACATAATTATGGAAGAGGTCATTATAAGTCACAGTATTCACAAGTAGATGAAAACTCCACATTCCCCTTCACTCATGAGTGTAATCACCAACTTTGTCCGTACTAGAATACTAGGATATATCCAATCAAATGAAAAAATGCAGTTTTCCCTGGCAGGATTCTAATTTGTAGCCTTTAAAGATGTGTAGGGCCTGAAAAAATTATATATTTCTGCTATTATTTTAGGGAGCAAGAATGGTGCGTGAACTGTTTGAGATGGCTAGAAACAAGAAAGCTTGTATTATATTCTTTGATGAAATCGATGCTGTTGGAGGTAGGTCATTTTTTTTGGAGTTTTATTTATGGCTATATTTGACCTGAAAATTGATACACAAGTTATTGGTCCAGACCTCCATTACACAAATCTCAAAAATATATTTCCAGTCCCGACTTATCAAAAAAACTCAGTGGAGTCAATTTAACACTGTATAATTTAAATCAACAACAAAATATGAAAAGCCATAAAATGATCAGCATTGACTCTGAAGGTTTTGCCTTTGTCATAAAATACATGTATTGTTAACAAAAAACGATATAGAAACAAAAAGTAGAAGATAATCAGTGAAATATGTTAAGAATAGATATTATTATTGTGTTTGAAGGTTATTTTTTTCCATGAACCTCTAAATAATAGGTTTTTAACCTTTTGCTGAATTATGATATTAATTGAAGTTTACTTAAAATTAGCATCTTGAAAGTTCTGTTTTAGTTAATATAAGATATATCATCAAGATTAACAATTTATTATACAGGTGCTCGGTTTGACGACGGTGCCGGTGGTGATAATGAGGTACAGAGGACCATGTTAGAACTTATCAACCAGCTAGATGGGTTTGATCCTCGTGGTAACATCAAGGTTCTCATGGCAACAAACAGACCAGATACTCTTGATCCAGCCCTCATGAGACCTGGTCGTCTAGATAGAAAGATTGAGTTTGGTCTGCCTGATCTAGAAGTAAATATTATATTTATATTCAACTTAAAAACTGTTTCAAACCTAGTTTATTTTCGGTTACTTTCTGGTCCATCACATTAGACCTTATCAGAATCTTTTATTTGGCTCAATGAAGATCTGAGCTATTTAACTAAAATATTTTTCACACAGAAGTGATGTGATGTGTTTATGATTGCCTGCTTATATAATGAACCTTTTCATATGAACCAAATATTCTTATAGGAACCAGTTATTGTGATATTTTAGGTTTGTTTGGTTTACAAACTGACATATTTGTTGTTATAGTTGTGTAAAGTAATTTCTTGTCTAGATAATGAATCATGTATTCATGAACCAATCATTTTTTACAGGGTAGAGCACATATATTCAAGATCCATGCACGCTCAATGAGTGTTGAAAAAGACATCAGATATGAGCTTCTCGCCAGATTGTGTCCAAACAGTACAGGTATGATACTTGAAAAACTTTGAAATGAAGATTCAACTTCTTAACCCTTCACCTGCTGAAACAAAAGGTGATTAGCCTTTGCCACCAGTATAGGGCGCAATCTGAACAAAACTTGGACAACTTAAATATGCTGTTTCAAATTCAAAGCAGGACAAATTCATTACACAGATTAAGTAGGTTAATTGTTAAGGTTAGCTGTTACTTAATTGTAAAAAAGCTAGACATCTGTATAACACACTTTATTGAGTTTAGTACTTGAGTAATTTGCCATTGTTAGGTCATATTTGTGTATATAACTGGGTTTTTATGCCACCGCAGCATCTGCGATGCGGTGGCATATAGCGATTCACCTGTGTGTATGTGTGTGTGTGCGTGTGTGTGTGTGTTTGTTTGTTTGTGTGTGTGTGTGTTATATAGATTATATAGTGAACTTAAAAAATCTTCTTGTGAAAAACCACTAGTCCAATTTCAATTAAACTTGGCAGGATTGATCCTTGGGTGAAGGGGTTCCAAAGTTGTTCAAAGAATTTCATTCCATGCAGAAATCTGGTTGCCATGGCAACCAAAAGGAATTAAATGAATAAATTTAAAAAATCTTCTTGTAAAGACACAAAAGGCCTAGAGCTTAGATATTTTGCATAAGGCATTGTCTGGTAGACCTCTACCAAGATTGTTCAAATTATAGCCCTGGGGTCAAAATTGGCCCGGCCCCGGGGGTCATTGATTTTCACTATATGTACATATAGTAAAAACTTAAAATACCTTCTTGTAAAGACCCAAAAGGCCTAGAGCTTAGATATTTTGCATAAGGCATTGTCTGGTAGACCCTTACCAAGATTGTTCAAATTATAGCCCTGGGGTCAAAATCGGCCCCGCCCCAAGTGTCATTGATTTTCACTATATGTACAAAGAGTAAAAACTTAAAATACCTTCTTGTAAAGACCCAAAAGGCCAAGAGCTTAGATATTTTGCAGAAGGCATTGTCTGGTAGACCCTTACCAAGATTGTTCAAATTATAGCCCTGGGGTCAAAATCGGCCCCGCCCGGGGGGTCATTGGTTTTCCTTATATGTATATAGTAAAAACTTATAGTAAAAACTTTCTTCTAGCAATTGACAAATGCTAGAGGTTAGATATTTTGCATGAAACATTGTGAAGTGAACTTCTAGCAAGATTGTTGTTGAATTATAGCCCTGGTGTCAAAATTGCCCCCGCCCCAGGGGTCATTGATTTTAAATATATATATAGTAAAAAATCTTATTGTCTGAAGGTAAAAGGCTTAGAGCTTTAATATTTGTTAATTGGTATCATCTATAGGAACTCTACCAAAGTTGTTCAAATTTTGCCTTTAGTGTCAAAATTAGCCCCACCCCGGGGGCCATAGGTTTTCCTTATATGTATAAAGTAAAAACTTAAAAAAATCATCTTCTTTAAATTTACAAAGACTAGAGTTAAGATATTTTGCATGAAACATTATGTAGTGAACCTCTAGCAAGATTGTACAAGTTATAGCCCTGGGGTCAAAATTGGCCCGACCCCCAGGGGTCATTGATTTTCACTATGTACACATAGTAAAAAATAAAAAATATTTTTGTCTGAAGGAACAAGGGATAGAGCTTTGATATATGGTATATAATATCATCTATGGGTCCTCTACTAAAGTTGTTCAAATTTTTCCCCTGGTGTCAAAATTGGCCCTGCCCAGGGGCAGTGATTCTCATTATGTACACATATTAAAAACAGAAAATAAAACAAATGTTTTCTGAATGGGAGAAAGCTACAGCTTAGATATTTGACTTGAAATGTTGTTTGGTGGACCTGTATCAAGATTGTTTTGAATTAAACCCTTGGGTCCAAAATTTTGCCTTGCCCAAGGGGACAGTGACCTACTTTCTTATCCTTTGATGTACAGCAATGAAATTTTGACCATGTGCACAGTTTTAGTTGTAAAATTGAACTTTGATATCAGGTGACCTAGATTTTGTTGATGTGACCTACTTTCTGGTCCTTTGATGTACAGCTATGAAATTTGAACCCTGTGCACAGATTAAGATGTAAAGTGAACTTTGATTTCAGCTGACCTAGATTTTGACAAAGTGTCTTACTGTGTTGTCCTTTTGATGTAGTCATGAAATTAAGGCTGTGTGAAATATGACCTTCACCACCAAATTCACTAGACTCGAGTGCATTGATGCATTCCTACTCTGATCTTTTATTGAGTTAACATTAGATTTAACCACTTATCTGATAATAAGAATAAGATAGGTCAGGGATCTATGCTTTATGACAATCTTCAATATTGTAAAAAAACAAAAAAAATCTGTTCCTACACTACTATTTAGTGTTGTATTAATGCGGTGGCATACCATTTTTCTCAAATGCAATCTTGTTTTTTTTTGCAGAAAAGAATGGCTTGAAAATATAGGTGTATGATAAGAAATTTACTTCTGTTCAAAAGTGATGTAACGGCTACTGAACAAAGTTATTTTGTTAGGTTTAAAAATCATGTTTTTATTAGCTCGACTATTCGATAAGAATAAGTAGAGCTATTACAGTCACCCGAGCGTCGGCGTCGGCATAACCACTTATGTTAAAGTTTTTGTAATAGTTTAAATATTTTAAAAGTTCATAGGCATATGGCTTTGAAACTTTGCACACTTGTTCACCATCATGACCCCAACCTGTAGACAGGAGGAGGTAACTCTATCAAGCATTTTGACAGAATTATGCCCCTTTTTCGACTTAGAATTTACGTTAAACTTTTTGTAATAGTTCAAATATTTTCAAAGTCCATTGACATATGGCTTTGAAACTTTGCACACTTGTTCACCATCATGACCCCAACCTGTAGACAGGAGGAGGTAACTCTATCAAGCATTTTGACAGAATTATGCCCCTTTTTCAACTTAGAATTTACGTTAAACTTTTTGTAATAGTTCAAATATTTTCAAAGTCCATTGACATATGGCTTTGAAACTTTGCACACTTGTTCACCATCATGACCCCAACCTGTAGACAGGAGGAGGTAACTCTATCAAGCATTTTGACAGAATTATGCCCCTTTTTCGACTTAGAATTTACGTTAAACTTTTTGTAATAGTTCAAATATTTTCAAAGTCCATTGACATATGGCTTTGAAACTTTGCACACTTGTTCAACATCATGACCCCAACCTGTAAACAGGAGGAGGTAACTCTATCAAGCATTTTGACAGAATTATGCCCCTTTTTTCGACTTAGAATTTACGTTAAACTTTTTGTAATAGTTCAAATATTTTCAAAGTCCATTGACATATGGCTTTGAAACTTTGCACACTTGTTCAACATCATGACCCAAACCTGTAAACAGGAGGAGGTAACTCTATCAAGCATTTTGACAGAATTATGCCCCTTTTTCGACTTAGAATTTACGTTAAACTTTTTGTAATAGTTCAAATATTTTCAAATTCCATTGACATATGGCTTTGAAACTTTGCACACTTGTTCACCATCATGACCCCAACCTGTAAACAGGAGGAGGTAACTGTATCAAGCATTTTTTTTACTATCAAGCACTAAGAATAGTCGAGCGTTGCTGTCCTACCGACAGCTCTTGTTGACTTTTCTGCTCTTAAAATGGAAAAGTTTGTGACCTTAAGACCTGCAGGTACTATTCTGGACTAGACTAAATTGCTGGCAGCTGAACTTGGGTACTTCGATATCACTTAAGGGTTAATAGTTTTATGTGAATTAGAAGTTCATATTGAAAACAGAACCAAAGTGATCACTTTCAAAATATCAATGTTAGTTTATTAAAAGTGGGCCAAAGGTTGACTCTGAGGTTCAAATACTTCAAGAAAATAAATTTTGTTTTCATTTTCAGGTGCTGAGATTCGTAGTGTTTGTACTGAAGCTGGAATGTTTGCTATCAGGGCTCGTAGGAAAATGGCAACAGAAAAAGACTTTTTAGAAGCTGTTAACAAAGTTATCAAGGCTTACGCTAAATTTAGTTCAACACCTAGATACATGACCTACAACTGAGAGGACTGGATAAACATTCTACATAAAGGGCGTTCTCATTCTGAACTTTATGATACAATTTCTATTTATGTCTTTTTTCAAGCAATTAAATACACATGTCAAAATAATCAATAGTCTACAAGATTTTGGAGGTTGACATAATTTAGAAGTTAACTAAAAAGAAAACATATTATGCAGTATACATTGAAATGATAAAAAGGTGTATTTCATCGCCAGTTTATATTTCATCGTCATCATCATTATGTTCTGACTCATTTTGGCTTCAGTTATGTGAGCCAGAAAATATACTTTCATACAAAATTACATTTAAAATAGTGTAAGTGATGAATAGAATCTCTGGTAAAGTAACAAAAAAGATGGATATCACAAATCTTATTTAAATATGTTATTGGATTGAAATTAACATAGTGCTTCTTCTTTTATAGATTGAAAAGTTATCATTGTTCATTTAATAAAATGAAATAAAAGCTTATTTAAACTCAAGTGTATGAATTCTTGCTTAGTTTGTAAATTAGATACTGTATATTGGACACAATGGAATAGATGATGTAAAGATTAAAATTGGACTGACTTAAACAGTAATGTCCTGTACCTGTGCACTGAATTATTATGCCATCTTGTGTGTATTCTGTCCTAGAAGACATTAAATTGCTGACAAGGGCATCTAGAGGACAATGCTGCTATCTGACGAGGCTATATGCTATTGATTTGGGCCTCTGGTTGATATGTTATGGGGCTGAGTTGTGATAACACTGTTGGTTTGAATCCCAATATTAACATATGAGGAAGCTTTTTGCCTGGCTTATGGAAGGTCAGTGGTCTACTCTGGTTTAAGTAATGCAAATTAGAAGCTGAGACCTCTCTGAACCATGACAGACGTCATATGACCTTACAACCTAACTGGTTCTATCCAGGTGCCTTTCTGCAGCTGAAATGTTATTTAAAAGTGTCATCATCTCTCCCATATCTGAACTTGTGTGAAAACACATACTACCCTAAAAGGGACACCCACTCCGATTCATTCAACAAAATGTTAGAATTAACAAATATGTCAAAACTGCAGCCTACCACACCTATACTTGTACAAGTATGTATACTCTTCTAGTCGAGTGCCTGGCATCCCTAGCAAAATATTCTCGGAGAGTATATTATAAAAGAATCCAAAGGTCAGTCACATCGTATAACATGTCAGATTATAATTACACATACAGAAGTAGGGTTACTTACATGCTAAATATCCTAGAATGGAATTGGGTACAATAATTTAGGTTACGAAATTCCCTTATACTCTTCTACAATATCAGAGACTTAGTAACACAATGTGTTATAGCCAACTTATCCCCACCAGAAACCTGAAATAGAACATTTCCCAATACCAAACCAACAATCATTGTAATTCATTTCAAATGACTATAAGACTTTTGTAACTTTTTAACACTGTCAGTCAGATCAGCACAAGTCTCAGAAAATTTACTAGCAGTGCAAATTTATCATTGTTTAGATCTGTTAACTGAGTACTGTATTTCTACGTTTTACTTTTACATAGATCACTTTTAATAAGAACAGTTTTTACAACAATGAGCACCACCCAGTCATAATCAGAAATCAGTTGTTGGGTTGGTACATGTAGCTGTTAAAATCTAATCTACCTTGTCTTAAAGCTTATTCTACGGAAAATACAGGTTACATGAGATTAACATAAGCTCTCCACCCCCCCCCCCCCGCCACTGTATCACACTTTGGAACCAACTCCAAAGGAACATTGTCACCCTGCCTGATCTAAACTAATACAAACAGGCAGTGATTAAGATACAGTATTAGTTGACCTGTTGTGTTTTTACTTTTAAATCTTTCTGTCATCCTTACCACGGATTTATATTATATATATAGTAATATAAATCCGTGTCCTTACTAATAAAAACATTTGAACAATGACTTAAGGTTTTCAGTGTCTCTCACTGTGCTGATAAAGTTCATTTTCAGGTTTTCTCTTCCTCTCACACCTTTCACTAACACATCCGATGCGCACTATTCCTGCCAATAAAACTCGCGAGAAGGGTTGGCAGTACTTCGACATATTTGTTATGTACGTAAACAAAGAAGAAAAATATTTAGTAGTGTCCAATCTATACAGTGTTTTTTTTTGTAGACGACAGCGATTTACATGTAGGTCAATATATTATTTAGGCGGATATGACGTAACATGGCGTCCATTGTTACCAAGTTGTAAATTAACAAAAAATCTGGAAAAATGATTATTTACGTCGAAAGCAAGGAATTCCATGTAAATTATTAAAGATATTATATTATTTTATATATTTCTTTCAATATGTATACTTGTTTTAAAAGTATAATGCGCGCTACACCATATAATTTATAAATATATTTTCTTCTGGTTCGTAATTGGAAATTAATTGGCAAAGTGCCCGAATAGTCTTCTTCCAATATACTTTAATATTTCATGAAAATAATTCAGACGTTTCATTTAAGTTGGTTGATACTGGTCATTATATATACAAATTAGAATAAAAATAACTTGTCATCTTTCAGCAAGAAGAATTAATTCCCTTTTTTTTCTGAATTACAGGACACACATGTAGCATATACATATCCCATAGTAGTCCTAATTATAAGACCTTTACGTAACTTATTTCATATTTATCATTCATTAATCTGATATTTTACATTTTTCATTTTCCATGTTACGTTAGGTCTTAACACATCTTTGCAAAATCGTGTAGCAAAAAAATTGACATTAGACATCAATTTAGATCTAATGAATTTAAACAATTAAAACAGCGTGTATTTACATTAATTTTGACCTATTTATGAACAAAACTAAAAAATGAATACCTTTTAACAAAATCATTGAACTGTCACATCCGAAAAGTCATGATTAAATCCTCTCATTTAATTAAATTCCTTGTACAGCCGATATACAAATGGCCGCCATACAGTGCGCGAATTCTGATTGGCTAATTCAAATGCAAGCGTTTAAATGAGTCCAGAAGTTTCTAACGGAATATTATTTCAACGAAATAATTGCCCATGCACCGTCAGTGTGTTCGAATATATTTTTCCGTTCAAAAAATTGGAATCAATCTGTAAAACGCTAAAATTACTTAACCAATATGGCCGATGAGCAAAATAGACTGATATTTATATTTTATTTTTAATTGATAAGTACATTGTTTGAAAGTTTTTGTTAATGATAGACCATGCAATTGAAAGAACAGAAGATAAGCTTTTGAATAAAGCTTGAAACGCAAGACAATAGACATTTTTTTAAATGCTCTGCGTTTATGAGCAATAACTAGTAGACGTCAGGCTTGACCAACATAAAACTATAACAAGCCTGTACCGTCTAATCTATTGGACTAATCCCATAGGTGTTCGGCCCGTTGATTGGTCTTTACCCTCGGCCCAAATCCCCCCCCCCCCTCACCTACTCTTCAACCCCCTACCTCTCAAAACCATGTAAAATGCAGTACTTTTCATTTTAAACATGTTTTAATATTTGGTATATGCTTTTTATTCAATTACCTATATCTCCCACAAAAAATAAAAAAATGATATATATATATATATTTAGTAAAGGTATGCAACTCGCAGCTCATTTTTCAGCACTTGTCTTAATATGAACTCCATAACTCCAACATTTTGTCACCAATTTTCAATATCTTGGTACCAAATGGTAAGGAATTGATTACTCTTAAAGGAATTAAAGCTGTCATTACAATCATTTCAAGTTTAAAGAAGATATGTAATCTCGAAGTCTCCACAAGGTTAACTCGACAGAGACCTGACCACGTAATGATGTTTTACAATTTGTGTTTGTTAACAAAAAAAACAACTGTAGTTCCAATAAAAAGTCACCTCTGCAACCTCAGCAGGAAGCTTTTGAAAAAAATTGCATAAGAACTTAAGAAGGGGGACTACCACGATACTACCAAATTGATACTGCAACTGGAAATGACTATACATAATTAAATTTGTATTGTTGACAATATTTTACTAAAATTCATATTTTCATGAAATTAAAACAAGTCTGAAGCAGTTTTGCTTTACAATCTTTTATTTAATGCAAGTCAATCCTTTTTGGAAAACGAGAAATACTCTCACTGGAAGAACATATTTTCTGCATATAAATGTTTGTGAAGTTGAAAATGAACATCATTTAAAAAAAACAACTGACACAGTAAAATTAAGATGTCCCTTGTAACACAGGGTTTTACATCTCTTTGAAATTTTAGGGGTCCAGCGGATGCACAGCCTAGAAAAGTAGGGGTCCAGGCCTGAATTTTAGGGGTCCAAAATTATATTCACTATAAAAGACTATGAAGACCACTCTATTTTGCTTAAAATCATTTATTTACCCTGTAAGAGATATGCATGTATATTGTACTGTTTTCATAAGAAGTAAGTAAGTAAGTAAGTAAGTAAGTAAGTAACGACTTTATTAAACAAGGCTTACACATTCAGTTTCCCGATCTTCCATGTGGGCCTCAGCATAACATTATTACAATCAGTTTACATGTACACAACATATACAAAAACAAAACTTCAATGTACATTGTAACATAATGTTGTTGCAATTATTTTTGTAATATTGTAGTTGTATATATTGTAAATTATGTTTTTATTAGAGGCCCACATGAAAGATTGCCAGGGAAACCAAATGTGTAGCCTCGATAAATAAAGCCTTTACTTACTTACTTACTTACAACATATATACACAAATATTATTAAAATAGATCAATTAAATTGAAGTAATGATTGATAAAGCAAAAAATGATATGATTGTATAACAATACAGAGAAAAAGAGCAATATGTACAGATAGGTAAAACTAACATAGTGCATGTTTAAAACAATATTTAGTACCTATTTAAAACAATATTTATACTTATAAATACACCATGGAAATTCAAATGATAATTTAAGTGATATTATTATCTAATACATATTGGCTCATGAGTTATTTTAAAATATAACTAAAATATATCTATATATATACATAAATTTAAGTTCAATTGGAGTAGGAAATCATCATTTGGCATCATTGAATCATAAATTTTCCTATTGGGAAAATATGGGACAAAAGTAAAAGAAACGATAACAATAGTAATATAGTAATAATAAAAATACATATAAGTAATTTATACAACAGGAATAAATCAACAGCTAGTTTAAGGTGAAAACTGCCATTTGATATAAGCTGATTGAAATTTCCGAAGAGTATCGGAATTTCTTATATGTACTGGTATGTCATTCCATATTTTTGGTCCAGAGTATGCAAATGATTTTCTGAAGAATTCTGTTTTAGGTTTTGGTATAATTAGCTTTGCATTTTGTGCTGATCTGAGGTTTAAGTTGTGCCTTTCGTTTACTGTCTGGAATTTATTTTTCATATATGTTGGAAAGTCAGGTTCATTAATTGATTTATACATAAGAATTGACTTTTTGTATATGATTCTTTGGTCAAAAGACATCCAGTTTAATTCTTTGAATAATTCACTTGATGGTGTATCAAAATTTTTGTCAAGGAGTATTCTTGCTGCCCTTTTTTGAAATTTAATGACATCAGATAGTAGTTCGTTATTGCAGTTTCCCCAAATAGTACAACAGTAGTCCAAGTGAGGCAGTATGTATGCATTAAAAAAAAGTTTTCTTGAATGAATATTAAGACACTGTTTAAGTCTAAGAAGTAAATACAGAAGTATATGATTTCAATATCTTTTATCACTAGGTTTTTTTTATAGCCCTTTAGTAGCCCTTTACAATAATATCATGTGCTATTTCCAAGGCTTATAAGTCTTTGAGTGGCTGGAATGTCAAGTTTTAGTAGCATATTTTGTTATTGATAAGGTGATTACACCAACAGACTGAAAATTTGTACTGATCTATTTGTAAATATTTTAGCTGAACTAGTAAACACACAATAGATAACTTTACAGACCAGTCAGCTAAATATGTTGCGTTTTTAAAAATATCATATAACAAAAGGCTGACGAAACCGCTTTTGCACCTCCTCATACTTGATGTCCCAGTCATAAGATAAGTTTGCCGAAACCATTATATTTATAACACCAACGATAATAACATACCCAGTGACTTAATTTCTATAACACTATGAAAATAAGTTTGCAAAAAGCACTGCCTTTTTTATTATCGCCGTTCATGTACAAAATACATTCACATCGACATTGGATACGCTAACCAATAGTAATTGCTTGTTATAAATAGTTCGTCTAAATATAGCAACAGAAAAACCAAAAACAGCTACCTAAAATAGATTTTACGGTAAACGTCATCAGTTACTGTAGCTTGCACGATAGACGTCATCAGTTTCTGCAGCGGGCACTTGCAAATAGCATGCGCAGTAGATTTCAATTATGTTAACTTCCGAAATAAACAATGCAAGCATTTTCTGCTTGGTGTATTAGATTTAAATGGAATTTTGTGAGCTTCGAGAAGAAAGAGATAAAATCATGTCAGGTCAGAAACAATAATATCTATTGTCTAGGATTATTTTTGTGCGTACACTTGGACGCAAGTGGATAACTTATATGCGTACATGTCAAAATTTATGCGTATAGGGACACAGAATTCTGCGTCCCGTAAAACCCTGTAACATATATTATATTCATTTTTTCCCCCTTAATTTTCTTTATTTTCAGTACAAGTCGTTCATCACTGTGGTGAAGCCAGATGACAAGGTTGCCAGGGTGCGAGCACAAATGCTCCACATTCTGTATGAGATTGGCAGAGAAGATTTTCAGTTTAGACTAAGGTAAAAAATCAGAATGTTATTGTAACTTATTTAACCCTTAACCTACCAAGTATCTTAAATGGACTCGTCCAGCTTCTTTTTGGAACTGTCAATTATCAATTTTTGGGATATTATGTTGAAAATTTAATTTACTCAGTAAACGGTATGGAGCCATGTCAGATTACAGATGATGCAAAGTCAATTTGTTTCCAGCAGGTTGAGGGATAATATTTTAAACAGCTTACAGTCTGGTTACACAATCATAGGCTTATGAAAGTATCAGTTCTGACAATGACAAAATGTTTATGGATACAAGGCCTCTAGCCCAAAACAAAATAGAGATATCAATACATTTACATACATTAAATATAGTACAAGAAAAATTATGTGTAAACGAAAAAATTTGCTTGGTACATATTTTATTCTTAAATTTTCACAGGCTGTACATACCATCACAAAATGATATTCTGTTTCTACAGAAACCTTACATACATTACATATACGTTCAGATCTCTCTACATGACTATGTCACAGTATGTATCTACATCTTTCAATATTTAAATCATGCAATGAAGTATATAGTTTTGCAAGTACGTTCTGAAGAGATCAGTTATAGATTTGATATTTTTGCAGGTATAATGGCCAATATCTCAGGGATGTGTTCAGTCTTACAGATTACAAGCTGGTACCCAACTCAGTGGTGCAAATGGTTCCTCTTTCAGAAAGCAGAGACGTGAGTAAATTATAGACACATTTAATGTAGATTTTAACTATTTCATCATGTTTATTGCAGAAAAGTTGTATTAATATTTTTGCAATTGTCTAAATTAACAGAAAACTAGAAAAAAATCATTGATGCATTTCTTAACAAAAAAATATTGTGTACATATTTAAAAAAAAAACTTCTTTTGAAAAAACATTGGACTTTTTTTTGGAAGAATAGTAGACAGTATAAAATGGTTTTGGGGTCATTGCCTATTGTCTTATATGGTTCAGTGCTACATTTTAATGTTCATTTCTAATACTGCCTGAAACATTTCCATGATGACACAAACATTTATCTTGGTGCAAATCTATAAAAATATTACCCAAGCTCCTGGATTTTTGAACTTCATAGCAGCATTTAGAGATACTTTAATTGGTTTTGTTGTGGTGATAATTTTTACTTTTACTTTTCTAGGACATGTCAGATTTGAGGTCAATGTCTAGCAGTTTGACCATGAACTTTGACCCTGAGAAAGAAAAGATACCATCTGTGAAATCAGCCCTCTACTATGAAATAAAGCATCTAAACTGGAGGGAACGTCTTGTGAGGGATATGCATGTATGTAGAATGTTAATCTAAACAGAATTTATCTATGTTTAAACTTGAAATTATTTATATAGATTATATATGTATTGCTTTCAACAGCTCACATATTGTAAGATATGTCATGGTAAAGATATTATTGGGTACAAAGCTGTATTTAGATTTGTGTATTGGGAGGTGTATTTGTTTGTATTCTCATCAGAATTGCCCTGAAATACTAAAGTACCTGAATTGAAAGACCTATGTTTGTAGATTTATCATGAACTGTGTCCAGCCAGCACAAAATCATTGCGAAACCTACTTTAAAGGCCTGATTTAAATGCCTTTTTATTTGATTTAGCTGATTGTGTTTTGAATTTAAAACAGTCCATTATTAGCTCGACTATTCGAAGAATATGAGAGCTATTGTAGTCCCTTCCGCGTCTGCGTTGGTTAAAGTTTTTTGTAAAGTCAAATTTCTCAATTATTGCTTGAGATATTCAATTGAAACTTACAATACTTATTTATAGTAACAATGTACATCAGACTGACAAGTTGGATAATTCTGTCTACAATATTTACAGAATTATGCCCCTTTTTATCTTAGAAATTTTTGTAAAAAATTTTTGTAAAGTCAAATATCTCAATTATTGCTTGAGATATTCAATTGAAACTTACAATACTTATTTATAGTAACAATGTACATCAGACTGACAAGTTTAATAACTCTGCCTACAATATTTACAGAATTATGCCCCTTTTTATCTTAGAAATTTTTGTAAAAGTTTTTTGTAAAGTCAAATATCTCAATTATTGCTTGAGATATTCAATTGAAATTTACAATACTTTTTTAGCTCGACTTTTCTATGAAAAGGGGAGCTATCCTACTCGCCCCGGCGTCGGCGTCGGCGTTAGCGTTAGCGTCGGCGTTGGCGTCACACCTTGGTTAAGTTTTTCGTACCACCCCACTTTATTTCAGAAGTATTACAAGTATGGCTTTGAAACTTACCATACTTGTTCACCATCATAACCTCCATCTACAGACAAGAGTACATAACTCTGTCAAGGTTTTTGACAGAATTATGGCCCTTTTTTGACTTAGAAAGTGTATTGAGCTTGGTTAAGTTTTTTGTACCACCTCACTTTATTTCAAAACCATTGGAGGTATTGCTTTGAAACTGACCATACTTGTTTACCATCACGACCTTCATCAACAGACAAGAGGACATAACTCTGTCAAGGTTTTTGACAGAATTATGCCCTTTTTGACTTAGAAAATACATTGAATATGGGTAAAATCCACTTATTGCCTTAACCTTTGAGATATTGCTTTGAAACTTTTAATGCTATTTCACATCATTACCCCCATCTGTACGCAAGAGAAGGTAACTCTGTCAAGGATTTGTTTTAAAAATTAAGGCCTTTTATCGACTTAGAATCTTGGTTAAGTTTTTAGTACCAGTCCACTTTTTGACTGAACTGTTTGAGATATTAATTTGAAAGTTGGAATACTTGTTTACAATCATGATTCCCAAACATGTCCAGGAGAAGGTAATTCTGTCAAAGATTTTATTTGAATTATGGCCCTTAACTGTCAATGTTTTGTATTATAGGCAAGCACTAAAAAACTTAAAAAATCTAAAAAAATTCATTCCTATCCACTTGTTCACTTTACCATAAATTATGTCATATAAACATTGCTGTAATATTCAAGGGTATCAAACAACTAGTTCACTTTAAAAATACAGAGATTCTTGTATTGCCTTTTACTGCAAAAACTTTTTTTATTGGCAAGCAATAAAAAAGTCGAGCGCGCTGTCTTACGGACAGCTCTTGTTATAGTAACAAGTCTATCTTGCATTTAGGCTGATTTATCTCCCTTTTTCTACTTAGCCTCTTGGTTAATGTTTACATGCAAGTTTTACACATCTTAATAACTATTAAAGATATTTATTTAAAACTTCACATATGCATTTATGGCCATAATTGTAGGTCACTGACCAAAATCCGTAATTCTATCTTGTATTTAGGTAGATTTTTCTCCCCTTTTTCAACTTAAAAATTCATGGTAAAGTTTTGCTTGTAAGCTGTTATCTCCATAGCTACTGAAGGGTTTGTGCCTTTTTTGGGACAATTTTATGCATTCATGATAATAAAGCAGTGATTTACTGGATAAAACGTCTTAATAATAAGCCTTTGTACCTTTTCGAGCAATGTATTCATAGGTAAGCATTATTATACTCAATAAAACACCCTTGTGACAACTTTTTCGAATAGTCGAGCCTTACTGTCCTCGGACAGTTCTTGTTTTACTTAAGGATTTTATATATAAGTTCAAAATCCAGCCAACAATATAAAGTATTGTCAGACTTCAGGCAAGTGTGGATTGAGCTTAACATAATACTGGTGTCACAATCCTGTTGTTATTTTTGAAAATCCTTGTTATTTGGTTGGGGTATGGCATGGTGTTTTTTTGGGCCGGCAGCCTCAAACAGGTGGTTTTTGGTCAATAACTAGAGTTCAGATCGACTTTTGTAATGAAAGCACTTGTAATGCAAGCTATTTTTAGACTTTGCTTACGGTTGATTTTGGCCTCCATAGGATCAAGATCACTGTTACTAAAGGAAGAAAAATGGTTGAACCTTTAAATTACCCAAACACAATAAAGCATCTAAGGTAATTAAAAAAAGCAGAGAACATAGCCCCTGTTTGTGATGGCTCTTATTGAAAACCTGGTTTTGTGGCATTGTCATGTTCCTTGTTTAATATTATTTAAGATTGCAGTTAAAGACAGAATGTTTTTGATAGTTTTTTTTCTTCAATATTTTGTAGACTTTATTATACATGCACTCACTGGCACTGTTCCTGTATCTTTTGACGTCACACTGGTACTCGATTTTCTGGTTACTGGCTTACCTGTTACCATATTGGTACCTTGTGCCCGGCTTCACTCGTATCGGTGGCTATATTGGAAATACTTTTCACAGGTCAGTATGAATGTATGTAAGATATAGTTTCATGATACATGTACATTGTACATACAACTTTTTGTTTTAGGGTCAAAATAGGTCATAGGTTGGTGTAACTTTGTTACATTTATCATTCAGCATATATCTTCAGTAAAAGCCCAATATGTGTATGAATACAGGTGAGGTATATAGGCCACTGTAATTTATGTTAACATTACATTATTTTCTGTGACATTATTTTTATAAATATTTGTGAGATTGTAGAAACCAGTTTTTTTTTTTTAAGAAAACAAAATCTTTAAATATTAATGGTGTCTTTAATCTCTTAATTTTCATCATACCATATGAATACCTTTATATAAGGAACGTCTTACAGAAGTCTTGCAAAAGTCATTTTGCTGTTACTTGACCTGTATTAATTAAAAACAATGCACTACAAATGCTAAAGCAGAAAATTAAGTTATGATCATTAAGAACTGTATAATAGTAGGTATTTGTAACAGAATGAACAGTTTTTAGCTCGACTTTTCTATGAAAAGGGGAGCTATCCTACTCGCCCCGGCGTCGGCGTTAGCGTCGGCGTTGGCGTCACACCTTGGTTAAGTTTTTCGTACCACCCCACTTTATTTCAGAAGTATTACAAGTATGGCTTTGAAACTTACCATACTTGTTCACCATCATAACCTCCATCTACAGACAGGAGTACATAACTCTGTCAAGGTTTTTGACAGAATTATGGCCCTTTTTTTGACTTAGAAAGTGTATTGAGCTTGGTTAAGTTTTTTGTACCACCTCACTTTATTTCAAAACCATTGGAGGTATTGCTTTGAAACTGACCATACTTGTTTACCATCACGACCTTCATCAACAGACAAGAGGACATAACTCTGTCAAGGTTTTTGACAGAATTATGCCCCTTTTTGACTTAGAAAATACATTGAATATGGGTAAAATCCACTTATTGCCTTAACCCTTTATATTGCTTTGAAACTTTTAATGCTATTTCACATCATTACCCCCATCTGTACGCAAGAGAAGGTAACTCTGTCAAGGATTTGTTTTAAAAATTAAGGCCTTTTATCGACTTAGAATCTTGGTTAACTTTTTTGTACCAGTCAACTTTTTGACTGAACTGGTTGAGATATTAAATTGAAAGTTGGAATACTTGTTTACCATCATGGTCCCAAAACATGGGCAGGAGAAGGTAATTCTGTTAAGGATTTTATTTGAATTATGGCCCTTTTTGACTTAGAAACTCAGTTAAAATTTTCATTCTTGTCCACTTGTTGACTTAACCATTTGAGATATTACTTTGGAAGTTGGAGTTCTTATGTGCCATCATGAGACCTATCTGTAAGCAAGAGAAGATAACTCTGTGAAAATGTTTCTTGATTTGTACTTAGAAATTCCTAGTTAAAGTCTTGTGTGCCCTTAACTGTCAAAGTTTTGTTTTATAGGCAAGCACTAAAAAAGTCGAGCGCGCTGTCCTTCTGACAGCTCTTGTTCATGTTTAAAGTACAATCAACCGATGATGGATGACAAAGACTTTAAATGTATTTTTTCAGGCGTTTCTGGTTTTGTGGAATTGTGGGAATCATAGGATTGGCAATAATGAGTGTGGCAATATTTCTTACTGTTGACATCATCACGGACATTGCGGTCAGTATTTGCTATATATTCTGAAATAAGAAGGAAAAATTAAACAATTTAAATAGCAATTAGGAGAAGTAGAGTGACCAACTATTGCTGTTCAAAGCATTTAATTTTTTTGTTAGGTACCAACTTACTCAACCATTGTGACTACTTTTTCAGGTGCACTAAGTTTATCTAAATTGACTAAATGTTTAAATAGACTAATTATCCTTACTAAAGACAGTTCTAGGTAAATGGACTCATTTGATAAAAAATGTAGGACAAAGAATTTTTTTTTAGGTTGTTTATCACTTTAACACTGTGATTTTATTATATATGATGATTTTGTAGTAAGGTATCGGCAAGTATCCAAGAATAAACATAAACCCAAATTTCTTAACATGAAAGAATGTCAAGAATGAAATCCATGCAAAATGGGGCAATTGAAGGGACTGTAACCATCGTTACAAAGGTGCCCCTGCTATTCTTTTAAGCATACTATTTGTTATGGACCATAAGTGTCTCTGTTTTGACATTTTAATTAATAACCCTTTCTTTCATATTGAACTTAAATTGGTCTAAATTTTTTATTTGTTAATGAAATTAAGCTTCAAAGAGTATTTTGACTTTGATTTCCTTTCTTGAATGTAGTCAGATGTTTTTGATTAGTAAAAAACCTTTGTCTTGTATTTGATAGTAAATTGCACCAGTTATGTTATATCTAAGGAAACTAAAATATTTTGATCTGTAGAGTCTATATGAAAACAATTATTTATAGTGCGAATTTAGGAATATTAAACATCTTTTAATGATTTTTTATGATATTATAAATATATGACATAAAATTGTCCTGAAAATTTTAACTGCAGTGAAAATTTTGAGAGATTAAGCAAGAAAATTTTAGATTTTCTTTTTCACAAGCAATTTCATGATTTTCTTCATTCTGCTCAACACTTTACAATATAAAGAGTGCTTTATTGTAAGTTTGTAATAAACTTGTTGTTGTTGGCTGTATTCTGTGAATGTCGCTTTTCCATACAGATCTTTGTATTACCATAAATACAAGGTTAATGGTATAATATTGAATATTTTACAGAGTGATGGTTGTACAAATGGAGAGTTTACAAATGGATGTTCCAGACAAAATATCTACTCAACATTCATATTTGGAATACATGCTCTAATCCTACTTGCTTCTAACATTACATGTGGGCTTGTACTGTACAGCTTCAGAATAGAGGTATGTTTAACATTATCATATAATTTAATTTTAGTTCATTTTATACTTTGGTCACCTTTTACGATCAAATATTAGATGAAAATGCAATATTAAACATTCAGTTTCCAGTTATTTGTTTGGTTTTTATGAAAATCATGATCTTTTATTTTTTGTATGCTAAATTTTCGAGATGTGACAGAATAAGCTAAAACATGTATAGTGTTGACCAATTTGCATTACTACACGTCATTATTTTTGTAATGTTAGTTTCCCATTTTCATACTGTTAATTCCAGTGTAATATGTGACTAAAAATTTTGTACTGAAACAATAAGTAATAGCACTTTTTCACAGTAAAAATCTTGAAACTGAAAACCAATAGAAACAGTGTCCCAATAAAGTATTTGTTTAGGGTTAGAAAATAAATAACACACAGGTTTGTGAGTAGCATCAAAAATACCATCCCTTGTAAAAATACCTTTAGGTAACAGTATTTTCCTCAGGATTATATTTTCACCGTTACTCACAAACCTATGTGTTAATTATATACGAGTACTGTAGTTTCCTCTGTCTATAGTGTAATGTCTATATTTTTTGATGGAACATATATTTGCAATAAACAAGTTTATATGTTTAATGGAATAAATTTACAAGTAAATTTACACAAATGTTTTTGGTATGATAGAATAGGCATTATAGTCATAAAGAAAAGTATCCAGAAGAAGCAAGTAAAAATGTTCATGATTACTAATCTTATGTTAAGTTTGGAATGTTACTATAGTAATTGTTAATTAATTATGTTTTAGGTTGGGGATGTTATAGAGCGATATTTAGTACAAGAACGTGATATTGAGGATGTGATGAAACTTGCACGCAGTTCTAAACTGAAGGATAAGCGGACTGCAGCATATGAGATGGCCACAATGGCTGCATCAGGTGATGACAACAAGTTCAGAATTGTTGCTGAAGGAGGGTATGTCGAACTGATTTGCTAAGAAATTTGTTGATTTTTTTTTGCTCTTTTTTAAAATCTTACAATTGCCTAATGAATCAGCATCAGTGAAAAATTTAGATAGATACAGTACAGCTTGCGCGGAATGTACATTTTCCGACTTCCCACCGCCGGTTCAGCTGTTAGATCCCCAAATCAGCTTCCTCAAAAATTTTCTAATTTTATAATAGTGGTTAAAATTCAATTAAATTATGTCATGTACAAACTGATAAAAGAATTAATCTAAAGAAGAACAAACACAACTTGAAAAATGTTCACATTGATTTAAAGACCATACATTACAGGTTAGATGTAATGATTTTAAGGCCATACATTACAGGTTAAATGTAATGATTTTAAGGCCATACATTACAGGTTAAATGTAATGATTTTAAGACCATACATTACAGGTTATATGTAATGATTTTAAGACCATACATTACAGGTTATCTGTAATGATTTTAAGACCACATATTACATGGTAAGATGTAATGATTTTAAGATCATACATAATTACATTACAGGTTAGACATCATCATTTTATGACCATACATAACAGGTTAGATGTAAAATGTTTTTGAGACCATACATTACAGGTTAAATGTATTTATTTTAAGGCCATACATTACAGGTTAGATGTTATGATTTTAAGACCATACATTACAGGTTAGATGTATTGATAGCCATGATCATCTCCAATGATGAACCTACTCAGGAGTATGCTGTGGAAGCCTTGTCTGAACTTATCACCATTCAATCCATACAGGTATACCTGCCAGATAATTAGTATAATCAAATTTTGTGCCTTTTTACGACACAAAAAAATGTATATATAAATTGATGACACCATAAGTTTGTTGATTAAAATCTCTTGCCTATAGCCACCAAGAATGAGAATAGTCTTGCAAAAACAATATATAAGATGCCTCTGTGGCAAAAAAGTTTTATTTTATGTTTTCATTCCTATGTCGTACTTTGGTATTTAATGATAGAAAAATGGCAGAAACTTACAGTATTGTTTGATGAATATAGTCAAAATTCTAATATTTGATTCTACCATTCAGTTTGCTTCATCTGTTTTATATATAGACATATATATATATGATTAATAATCCTACATGAATTTGGCAATTCATAATTATCTTTTATCACTGTATTTTCAGGACAACTTTGTTGAAGTGGGTGGGGTACGTAATTTGACGTCACTTCTTCACTCTAACAGTGCACGAGTTATTCAAGAATCTGCACGAGCATTATACACCATATGTCAGAGTGATGAAAACAGACATGCTGTGGCAGAGGATCATGGGTAATATTTAGTTAGATGTGTAAAGACTCTTTGTAGCCACAAAGAAAGGGTCAAAACAGTATACAAAGTCCACTTTCATTTGATTTCAACTAATTATCTATATGTATATGCTTTGTGTAATGTTTGATGGGGTCTCTGTTATCTTACACTTAAGATCACTGACTTTTATCTTTTGTAATCTTACTTAACTGAAGGTTTGAATTCCACCTTTGATATCGAATACAATTAAGGTAGCTTGTGATTAGTCAGTGGTTCTACTACATTAAATAATACATAATGGTAGATGAGTACTTATTTGAAGTTATAATAAAATTTATTTGTTACTTAAAGTGACATGCCCATCCAAGAGTATATAGTGAGTGAACAAATGAAAGTCAAAATAAGTTTACATTTTGCCGTAATTCCTTTCAACTTTATAAGTTTCTTTGCATGAACGATAAATAACTCAACATGGCACTAGAAAATTTCTGTAGATATCCATCAGAGTATACCTGTAATGTTCAATTTATAAAAAGAGAGGGCAGTCTTTTTTTTTTTATTTTAGGCAGATTAACATTTCATCGTAAACATTTTATAATATCACCATCATAGCAGGCAAATCTTTTGAAATGTACTGTAGAAAAAATCAGCCCAACTTGACAATGAAAAAATGATCATAATGACACTTTAAACACACCTAGCACACAAACAAACAAACAAAATAGATGATATTTTGTTCAGTGTCACACTTACATTCTGACACAATTTAACTTGTCAATATTTGTCTATTGTCACAGATTAATGGACCTTGCTAATGCAGCAAAGGTTGGCTCTATAGAAACTCAGCGTATGGTGGCAAGTATTTTCCTGGAACTCGTGTTCAACAGTGAGATACGTGTTCATCTTACAACAAGGAACACACCAGGTATCTAAATGTTATAATTTGTGCAACTGGATCTATATTGATTTTTGATATGTTTAAGGGTGTAATAACATAGTACTTGGAAAAAGTAAAAATTAATCTCAAGGGATATAAAGAGGGAGGCATTTTTTTTAAAAGATGCAAATTTTTTCGTTTCATGTTGTTTGGCTTTATTTAATTTTAAAGGGTATAAAGCTGTATTAAAAGAAATATTTTTTATAAAACTTATTAACAGTTGATTGGCAAAAGAGTTGTAACATATCATGACTCTTTTATTTAACACAGATAAATATTGTATGTAATTAGAATAAAATGTTCTGGAACAAAATATATTGCTGCTAATTTAAGTTGATTTTTTTACCATTTATGAACAATTTTGGCCTTGCTCCATTCACTTTTAAAGAAATAATTTTAAATACTTTTTTTCATACAGGTATTTTGGAAGAATGGTATTTTCAAAATTCAAACAATGATTTTTGCAGCACTGAAATATGTAGCTTTATACACTTTAACATGATGTTTATTTAATGTATTCTTTGCATGCCTCAAAACCATTATAGATATGCAAAAATTTGCAAATTGCACAAACAATAGTAATGCAGTATAGTTGTAACAAGCAAGGAAATTATTCATTTTTGTCATGTTTTCTTTGTGACGTTCTCTTCCCAACTGTTATATTTCTGTATTTCTAGCACAAGCATTGGTACATCTATGTAAGAGTAATGACTGGGAGACAATGAGATTTGCCTTGTTGACATTGGAACTGCTTGCCATTGAGAGTTCTGATGTAGTCTGTGCACAGGTATGTCGTATTATTCATATACTGTATAGTACAATTTCTGCAGCACTGCCCTCTATAAAGCAGTAATATTTTAACAAATATAGTATCAGTTCTTCCCAAAGTAATATTTAAAAATAAATTAAACCTTTCAAGAGGATTACCTCTTAGCAACAACAAAACCACCACAGGTCATATAAATTACATTCTAGCTATATTTTCCCATATATCCTATCAGGATATTAGGGTATATGGGAGGAGTTATCTGTCTCTACTATGGTATATGGGAGGAATTATCTGACCATACTGTGGTATATGGGAGGAGTTATCTGTCCATACTATGGTATATGGGAGGAGTTATCTGACCATATTATGGTATATGGGAGGAGTTATTTGACCATACTGTGGTATATGGGAGGAGTTATCTGACCATACTATTGTTTGTGTACTATTGTTTGTGGGAGGATTTTATTTTGTTACTGTATCTGCCTATATTATGGTTTATGGGAGGATTTTTTTTGGCCACCTGCCCAAATGATATTGGGAGTATTTATGCCAACTTTATGATATATAGGAGAAGTTATTTGTTACTTTATCTGCCAACTTTATGATATATACAAGAGGTGTTATTTGTACTTTTTTTACCAATTTCATATTAAATATGAACACTTATTTATGACTTCAACGTTCAAGAAGTATTTTCTGGAAATGTTTATTGTTTATTGCTACCTAAACTACCCATATTTTGTAGTATATGGGTGGAGTTACTATTTTAACCTGCCCATATTGTGTTTTATAGGAGGAGTTACTGGAGATACTGCTGGACATTCCTATCAGAACCAATGACAACAAGCTAAGCCTTCTTGCTGGGAAAATACTGCTTTACTTTGCTGAACATGATCAGGTATTGTAGGATAGATAGAGAAATTCAAAAGTTACTATTCCTTATATTAAACCTAATAACTTAATATTATTACATGTATTGTGTTGGATCATTTAACATTGTTGGAATGACACTTATTTTACACTGCTTTTGTATAAATTTGTAACAGTTTTAAAATGATATTTAGAGTCTCCAAGTAATCAACCTACTTACTGAATCACTGCCCCCTCCTTACTCTCAGTAAGAATCTTGCCAGGAACTTTGAATGTCATCACATGTCCATTATGTTGTCTTGAGTATGACTTGATGTGACTGCCACAAAAAAAAAATTAGAACATGAACATTATTCACTTGTATGTAATATACTGTACATTCTGTATTACAAATATTTTATAAAATCCTATGTTTTTTTATAATTTATTTAAGTAAAACATGTATTATGGTTGACTTTCAGTTATATATATCTTATATCATTAACCTCATTTCTATTAAAATATTATATTCATTATTCCAATTTTCAGTCTCGAGACACTATGCTGTCTATGCCAGACTTGAAGGAGATCTTACTGAACTTTGCCAAGACCAACGATCCAGTCCTACAGAAAGTTGTGATCAAAGTTGTATTCTGCATGATGGACACAAGAGAACTCAAGTAATTATAGCTTTATAACTTATTGTATCAGTCAACATTTTTAAATTATAATTACATGTACATGGAATGTGTCAAAAGACACAATGATACAGACGATTCAACAATATACAACAAATTAATATGGGGCATACACGTTGACTTGATCCTCATATCCTTCACCGCTGTAGGTTTGAATTTTACTATGAATTCCTTTTTGTGAAGAAGCTATCCAGCTAGCTAAGGGAATATTTGGGGTTCTACTCAGATGTCAACTAGTGCCTTAAATAAAGAGGTCTTCCTCCACCAGTATAGCTGGAAAGTTTGATGTAACTTAAAATCCAACAACAACAAAAAAAGAAGAGTTGTAACATTTTTTATTCAAGATTTTGATACTGTATATTTTTATGACAAGAGGTTTTATTTTTTATCATGTAAGTTTATCTATACACCACATGAAAGAAAGTTGCAAGTGGTTCAGCTACTTGCTTGTTAGATAGCTTTATAAAATCTTTAAGATCTCTACCATCGAGAAGTGATGAAAGGGAAATATAAGGTTGTTGATATAATCTCCATGTGTCACTTGTATGGTCTCATAAAGTCTTCCTCTTGATTTCAATAAAAGTTTTAACAGTATGAAAGTTCTTACTATCAATTTAAAGGATAATTATAATTTTTTCACCAATTCTTACATTTTCATTCGTTATCAAATATAAATCGGTGTGTATAGATAAAATAGATGTTTTAAAAGTTCATTCCATGAGGTGAAATGGCGAGATTTTAGCATAAACTCAACTCATTTAAGCGCCTTGTCCGGTATATACCGGAATATAGTTTTTAGTGTGGTGCTCAAAGCCTTTTTAAAGTCTCCCACCATTTTAAAATATATACTATCTGTATCTTCAGGGAGAGAGCTCGTGCCTTGAAACTTGACCAGGTACTGACTTATTGTATGGACCATGCAATTGACAAACCTGTCTGGGACATGGCAGATCAGGGTAAGTTAACTAAGCCTTAATGTGCAAAAGTTCTAAAGTTAAATTCTCTGATTTCAGGAACATTGAAGTTATGCAAAAATGCGTAAACTTGTAGTTGCTAAATATGCTCTTTTTTTCTTCTTTTTTTTCATCAATAGGTGTTTTATTATTATCAGTATCAATTTCATTCAAATTTAAAGTTTTTATTTAAGAAATGAAGTATTTCTTATTTGTTGAGAATTTCAAAAATATTGATTAAACCAGCAAGGCTAAATTTTGTCTATATACATGTACATTGTATTGGTAAAGTTAAAGGATAATTCTGAAGCTATGAGACTTGTTTGTAAAAACGTACATAGTAATGGGAGAACTGATCTTTTATTTATTGTCATGGAATAGAATTTAGGTGTAATAATTATCATTTGTTTTTCCTGTAGGAATACAAGTAATCAACTCAGACGAGGATAATTTCCCGTCCCTTCCTGTGCTGAGCACATTTGAAAAACTTGGAATGGGTCAGAACAACAGCTTTGGTTCCCGAGCCTCACTGAGGTCAGATCCTAGTGCATCTGGTTCCCAGAGGTCATAAGGTCAAAGGGTCACATGATCAAAATAACAACTGGAAATCAAAATTGACTTACTCAATCTGTAGAAACTTTGAATATTTATAGAAGATTGTTTCATCTGTGATATTTAGCAACTGTTGACAGTTGAAAATATTTTCTTTTAACTAACTATAATTATACCTTGTATATCATGACTTGTGAGAACAACATCAGTTGGGTGTGTGATATCAAAAACTTTTAAATTACTTAAACACTGGTACAGTTGATGACATTATATTTAATTTTTACCTTTTATGTAAAAAGTATGAAAAACAAAAACACCAGTAAAATTTTCTTGTCCTGAATAGAGTGATAAAGTTCTAAATACAGAATCAACACCTATGACTTCACATCTAACACCTGTTATATTTTTTATACCGTACATCATATTTGGAAAATTTTGCTTGATCATCATGCCATTTTTTCCCCTACTGGGATAACACTGCATTTCTATGACAAATATTCACTGGTTGAATATATTTCTGTATAATGGGACTAATATAGATGATCATATAATATATTTTTAATTGCTCTGTTGAACAGATAAAATTTAGGATTATCTCTTTTGTTACTGTAATTATTAATGCTAGATTTCTATTAATGAAACTATTAGTTATTACTTTTCTTAACCTTTTACCCTACTGGGTCGGAAAGTAATCAGTAAGCCTTTGCCACAAGTAAAGAACAAGGCCAGCCTACACATCATTGTAGTCTGACCAGGCTCTATACTGTTGGCGGACTGATTTTAAATTTTTGTCTTGATACCCCAGAATTTACAATGAACTGTTCCAAAAATGGAAACTTGACAAGTTCATTTATGAAACTCAGCTGGTTAAGAGCTAAAGCAAATCATGATGCAGGGTTACGGCCCTTGTTATGCATTTTGTGTTGCAAATATCAAATTTGTATAGCTAGTATCATGTCAACATCTTTTGCTTTAGTTTCAAAGAAGTATTCTGACATAAAGAAAGGAAACAAAAAGTTAAAAATACTAGATTTTGTTAAATGGATTATAATTATCTTTACTGTATATAAATTTAAACATGTTTGCAATGTATTAATATTTTTAAAGTTATGTTTATTGTTTATGGCTGGACCATGTTGTTATATATTGGACACATTCATGCATTTATTTATATATAGTTTTTTCTTATTCATATTAAAGAACAAAAATGAAACAAATTCAATAAAATGTTAAATGTTGTATAATAGATAGTCAGTTAACTGGAATAAAATTTTAGGTCCCAACTTATTGACTAATATACCTGAAATATTGCTGAAAGTGCTCAACTTTTTCCAACAGACTTTACTTCCTTTAACCAATTAAGTCTGCCTAATCAAGATTTTAATATCTATGTTTTTAATTAAGCCATTTGAAATATACAATACTTAAAACATTTTGCATTTTGTGGTTGATTATTTAATTGACTTTTTATTTTCTTTTTGTTTTCTGCAATAAAATATTTGTACATTTGAACTTCTTACTAACAATAGATTTTGTAAACTAAACAGTGTGTTGTGTTTTGACTTTGCCACATTTATCATCTACTAGTATCATCTTTCCTTTTAGAGAGGCCAATTTTGATACAAAAAATGTGTAATAAGATACCAAGTAAAGGCGTAATAAGATGCCAAGTAAATATCAGTTTTTAGTATGTTGATGTACCATAATGTATGGTTCAAGTTCAAATGAGCAGTAATTCACTGTATATAACATGTTTGTAATTCACATCAAACTTGATTTACATATTCACTGTCAAAATAAAGAACATATAATCCTAAAAGCCGATAATTATAATTTTAGGCCTTTATTTACTTCTAAGTGCAATTTCTTGGTCAAAGTTAATCACATCAAAAACTTGTTCAGTTTTTTAATTGAAATACATTGCATAAGGGCAGGTAACTTTATAATAAATATTTCACGGGTATGTTCCCTTTTTATACCCCCGCACAACAAAGTTGTAAGGCGGTTATACTGGAATCAGCCTGTCCGTCCGTACAAACCCAAAGATACTTGTGTGACTTGGAGAACAATAGGTAACAGTAAATTCTCTTTGATCCTATTCATTCCGTTTTTACTTGTGTGTCTTTTTTTAAACCTTATGTGACTGAAAATGGCTAAAAAGATCAAAGGCAAAGTCACATAAGTACCATTTTGTAAGTATGGATGTCTCCCCGTCCGTTGGTTTTTCCTTGTCTGCCCAATAACTTAAGATTCCTTTGACCCACAGTCTTCATATTTGGCATGGAGGTTAGTCATGATTGGTAAATGACCCCTATTGGTCAAGGTCACAGGGGCCTTGACTTAACTAGAACTCCGCGAGTCGGATGTGTCGCCTTGTGAACAATATAGTTTAGGAGAAATGGCCAGGACAAAAATGAAATATGAAAATTAACAAAGGGCAATAACTCAAAAAATAAGAAATGCAGAGCAGCAGTTTCTGTGCACTGCACTTCTTATCAATAAGATCTATCATCCTATGAAGTTTCAAGTCTATAGCTTTTATAATTTATGAGAAATGGCCTGGACAAAAATAAAGTATGAAAATTAATAAAGGGTAATAACTCAAAAATAAGAAGTGCAGAGTACCAGTTCTTGTACACTGCACTTTTTCTTAATGAGATCTATCATCCTATGAAGTTTAAAGACCATAGCTTTTATACTTTAGGAGAAATGGCCTGGACAAAAATAAAGTATGAAAATTAACAAAGGGCAATAACTCAAAAAATAAGAAATGCAGAGTACCAGTTCTTGAGAAATACAGAGTACCAGTTCTTGAGCACTGCACTTCTTCTTAATGAGACCTATCATCCTATGAAGTTTCAAGTCCATAGCTTTTATACCTTAGGAGAAATGGCCCGGACAAAAATAAAGTATGAAAATTAACAAAGGGCAATAACTCAAAAAATAAGAAGTGCAGAGTACCGGTTCTTGTGCACTGCACTTCTTCTTAATGAGATCTATCATCCTATAAAGTTTCAAGTCCATAGCTTTTATACATTAGGAGAAATGGCCCGGACAAAAATAAAGTATGAAAATTAACAAAGGGCAATAACTCAAAAAATAAGAAGTGCAGAGTACCGGTTCTTGTGCACTGCACTTTGGGTCATTATAAGAAGCATGCATACCTAGTTTGAAGTCAATCCGACTTATAATGACTGACTTATCCTCCGTAAAAGTTGAAGGAGAGGCGGACACCGACACCACAGCCGCCAACACCGCCGATTTCAAGGCGACACAATGTCATGGTAAGTAGATGACCCCTATTGATTTTTAGGTCACTAGGTCAAAGTCACAGGGCCTTGACTAAAAAAAGCTTGTCTGCCCAATAACTTAAGATTCCTTTGACCCACAGTCTTCATATTTGGCATGGAGGTTGTTCATGATTAGTAGATGCCCCCTATTGATTTTGAGGTCACCAGGTCAAAGGTCAATGTCACAGGGGCCTTGACTAAAAAAAGTTGGTCCACTTAATAACTTAAGAATCCTTTGACCCACTGTCTTCATATTTGGCATGGGGGTTAGTCATGATAAGAAGATGACCCCTATTGATTTTGAGGTCACTGGGTCAAAGGTCAGGGTCACAGGGGCCTTGTCTAAAAAAAATTCCTTTGACCCACAGTCTTCATATTTGGCATGGAGGTTAATAATGATTTGTAGATGACCCTTATTGATTTTGAGGTCACTGGTCACAGGGATCTTGACTAAACAAGCAAATTCGTTGAATTTATATCCCCCACCGAGTACTGGTTTTTATTAACACAACAACTGAAAACATGAGGCTTTATTTATATATTAATCATGGCATTAACAGTAATATTCTTTGAACTTGCTAAATATTCAGGGCAATAACAGAGCCATAACTTTGTGTTAAATAGTAATATCTGGAAATGCCAATGAGATGTATGCATACTTCATAACTAATCAAGGGCCATAAATCTGAGTTACAAGTATCTGACCGGAACAAGGCGACTATATGCACATCTCCTCTTAGTATCCCATAAAAGTTTCATTGAATTCCAGCCAGTAGTTACAGAGAAGTAGCACGGAAACGATTATTGCTCTGTTGTATCTGCCTAAGTTAACAAGGGTCATAAACTCTTAAGTTAAAAGTCTGACCCAAAAAAGGCGACAATATGTCGCATCTCCTCTTGGTATTGAAGTTCCCAATAAAGTTTCATTGAATTCCAGCCAGTAGTTTGCAGAGAAAGTAGCGAGGAAACGAATATTTTCTATATGGAAAATACCTGCATAACTAATCAAGGGCCATAACTCTGAGTTAAAGTGTCTGACCCCAACATGGCAATGATATGGCGAAATCCTTCTCTTGGTATTGAAGGTTCCCATAAAGTTTCATTGAAATTCCAGCCAGTAGTTGCAGAGAAAAGTAGCGCCGTAAAGATTTTTTTGCTCTATATGCATACTGCATAACTAATCAAAGGCCATAACTCGCTGAGTTTTTAAGTGTCTGACCGGAACAAGGCGACGATATGCGCATCTCCTCTTGGTAATTGAAGGTTCCCATAAGTTTCGTTGAATTCCAGCCAGTTAGTTTGCAAGAGAAGTAGCGAGGAAACAATTTTTTTCTCTATATGCATGCCGCATAACTAATTCAAGGGCCATAACTCTGAGTTAAAAGTGTCTGACCGGAACAAGGCAACGGATATGCGCATCTCCCTCTTGGTATTGAAGATTCCCATAAATTTTGTTGAATTCCAAGCCAGTAGTTGCAGAGAACTTAGCGCTAGGAAACGATTTTTACTCCATATTGCATACTGCATAACTAATCAATGGCCCATAACTCTGAGTTTAAGTGTCTGGACCGGAACAAGCTGACGATATCGCGCATCATCTCTTGGTATTGAAGGTTCCCATAAAGTTCCCGTTGAATTTTCCAGCCAGTAGTTGCAGAGGTAGTGCGGGAAACGATTTTTACTCTATATGCATACTACATAACTAATAACGGGCCATTTTAACTCTGAGTCAAAGGGTCTTGACGCGGAACAAACTGACAATTTGCCGCATCTCCCTTGATATTATATGATTCCCATAAAGTTTTCGTTGAATTCCAACCAGTAGTTGCAGAGAAACTACTTCCGGAAACGAAATTCGGACGGACAGATGGACGGATGGGAGGTACGGACGGACAGCGTTCCAGGACAGTAATTATGTGGCTACTCCATTGTTCTCTTCTATTGTTTTTTTTAAGCCACACAAAAGAAAAAGCCACAAAAACATTACGGAATGAAGACATCAAGCGAGAAAAAACAGTTACCTATTGTCCCCTAGCCAATAATTAACTCTTCTGTGGATGCGGCAAGGACGGACGGACGTCAACGCCAAAACTATATCCCCCTCCCGATTCCATCGGCGAGGGATAAAAAAGCTTGTCTGCTCAATTGCTTAAGAATGCTTTGGTCAACAGTCTTCATATTTTGGTATTGAGGTTGTTTATGACTAGTAGATGACCCCCTATTGATTTTAGGTGACTGTGTCAAATGTCAAGTCACAGGGATTTTTACTAAAATAAGCTTGTCTGCTCAAATGCATAAGAATGGCTGTTCGCAGTGTATTGATTTTGACATTTACATTTGAAGCACTGA